ACGCTGGCGGCCCGCGTAAGAAGGTAGCGTGCGTACGACCATTTTGTTTTCGTCGCTAACATCTGGTCTTGCCAGGCCCGCGGATCCGCAATCCATGCCAGCGCGCATTCGAGGGAGACGGATTGAAGAAGCGCGCCTTCATCCCTGGGACGCTCACGTCGGCCACAGAGAGATTTGCTAAGAAGATTGGGCGCTCGAGGAACTGGGTTGGGCAGGTAGGCGAACATGCTGCTGTGGTAGGATAGGACATTCATCAGTGTGAGTCAGGCTGGAGGGCCGGCGCGAGCTGGCATCGCATGTCCTAATTGCGTCTACGTGCCGTTCGGCTTACTGCTTCTGAGTGGGTGGGTTGATGCTGTTTAGGAGTATTCGCGACATCAGTATGAGTCTTAGAGTATTCCGATGAAGATGATGATTATTGAGATCCAGCGTACCATTCTTAGTATCGTTTTCGGTATTTTTCGTTATCATTGCACCTCGCAGTTGCGGACAAGAGTGAGGGGGCGGCGGGGACGTCGGCAGTCTGCGAGGCATTGAAGAAGCCCGCGGCAGGCGCAAATTTTTAAAGCTATACAACGAGCCCGCCGCAGGCGCTGATTTTTTGTTAAAACAATGTAGGTGGGTCGCGGGTTACGTCGCAGGCGGGTCGCGCGTGGGTCGACGGTGGGTCGCGGGCCAGGTCGTGGGTGGGTCGCGGGTGGGTCGCGGGTCGCGGGCGGGTCGCGGGGTGGGTCGCCAGCGGGTCGCGGGGTGGGTCGCGGGTGGGTCGCGGTTGGGTCGCGGGGTGGGTCGCGGGTGGGTCGCGAGGTTGGTCGCGGGTGGGTCGCGGGCCGGGTCGCGGGGGGGACGACAACAACAACAAGCAGAATCCTCACCGCGGATCCACACTTCAGCCACGCACCCAGGGACAATGAATGACCGTTCGGCCCCCTCACTCTGATCATTGATCGTATCAGTTTCAATAATTTTGTTTTCCATATTTTTTTACTTGATATCAGTACTGTTAATACTATCGGTTCAGTCATACCGTTTTAAGTGTTATCGTTGTCTCTTTTGTTTTATGTACGAGTGTAACACTTGTTATCAGTACTACCACGTATTTAGTGTGATTGAGTATTTCTAGTAGACGTTGTAGGTGTATTTTCAGCATGCTGAGTATCGTTATTCTTGTCAGTGCTATTATCACGTTCTCAGTGCCATTCTTATTAGTATCGTTATTACCATTGCCATTCTGTGTTTATGTTTATGAGTCTGGCTATGCTAGATGATTATAGTTACGTAGCACCCCGCAATTGCGGATAAGAGTGAGGGGGCGGGCGCGGGCGACGCGGGCGTCGTCAAGCCGGCGGACCTCGTGGCCCCCACCTTCCCTGTCGATGGCGCTCTCCTTCTCCTCCTCCTCCTCCTCTTCCTCCTCCGCCTCCTCCTCCTCTTCCTCGTCCTCGTCCTCGTCCTCATCGTCATCGTCGTCCTCCTCCTCCACCTCGTCCTCCTCCTCCTCCTCCGCTTCTTCCTCGTCCTCCCTCTGCCCCCCTCGTCCTTCCATCATCGTCCTCCCATTGTCGTCATGTTCCTCCTCGTCGTCCTCCTCCTCTTCCCCCCCTCCCGATCCTCCCCCCTCCTCCTTTTCGTCGTCGTCGTCGACGTCGTCGTCGTCCCCTTCCTCGTCCTCCTCCTCCTCCTCCTCCTCATCTCCTCATCCTCATCCTCCTCTCCTCCTCGTCCTCCTGCAAAAGCAGCCCGCCGCAGGCGCCGAAAAATTTGGTTTGTACACTGAACGTGGTTTGGGTCGCGGGTGGGCCGCGGGTTCTCCACCGGGAACGAATGCAAAAGATGCCCGTCGCAGGCGCCGAAAAATGTAGTTTGTACCCTGAACGTGGTCGCGGGTGGGCCGCGGTCTCTCCACCTAGAACAAATGCAAAAGATGCCCGCCGCAGGCACCGAAAAATGTGGTTTGTACCCTGAACGTGATTTGGGTCGCGGGTTGGTCGCGAGTTGATCGCGGGGTGGGTCGCGGGCTCTCCGCCTGGAAGGAATGCAAAAAAAGCCTGCCGCAGGCGCCGAAAATGTTGGTTTGTACCTTGAACGTGGTTTGGGTCGAAGGTGGGTCGCGGGTGGGTCGCGGGGTGTGGGTCGCGGGTGGGTCGCGGGTGGGTCGCGGGCGGGTCGCGGGTGGGTCGCGGGGTGGGCCGCGGGCGGGTCGCGGGGTGGGTCGCGGGTGGGTCGCGGGTGGGTCGCGGGTGGGTCGCGGGGTGGGTCGTGGGGTGGGTCGCGGGTGGGTCGCAGGTGGGTCGCGGGTGGGTCGCAGGGTGGGTCGCGGGGTGGGTCGCGGGGTGGGGGTCGCGGGTGGGTCGCGGGTGGGTCGCGGGTGGGTCGCGGGTGGGTCGCGGGATGGGTCGCGGGTGGGTCGCGGGGCGGGTTGCGGGTGGGACGACGACAACAAACAACAACAACAACAAACAACAACAACAACAACACGAATCCGCACCGCGGAATCTCACTTCAGCCACGCACCCAGGGACAGTGAATGACCGTTCGGCCCCCTCACTCTGATTTATTATCATTCTTATTCGTATTATTATTATCATTATTCGGAGTGTTTTTTTTCTCCTTCGTAGTCATACCATCTTTTGTTTATTATCATTGTTGTTCTTTTTCTGGTTATTATTATGCTTGTCGTTCTTCCTCTTGCTATTCTGACTATTTCTGGTAACGGTCGTTACCAGGCGGGGGGGTTGCGTGGGGCCCCGTGTAACGGGAACAGGCACGTCAGGGCGGGGATGCGCTGCGACCGCCGCGCGCCAGAGGACAATTGGCACGCATGCCCTGGCTCGTGCACGAGGGAGGGCGATGGTCAGGAGAAGCGTGGTGAGGAGTGGGCGGGGTTCTTGGGCTATCCTGGCGTTTCCTCGGGGCCATCATGACCAGCATGCGGAGACAGGGGCCACCGAACGAATGACGGCGAAGCTGTAGGGCTTCCAGCTCTAGAACACAGTTGTGCAAGCGAACAGACCCAGCCATCCCCCGACATCCGGATGCTCTAATTTTTTCGATGCGGGGGCCCCGGATGTCTGGATCACTCCCCCAGGGCCGCTTTTTCGTCCCGAGTATATTTTTTTGTCGCCCTCTCGAGGCCCGGCGAGGCCCCCCTCCAGAGGCCCACACGGCCAAACACATGCACATGCGGCCCCCGTTTCTGCTGGAGCGTCGGCTCTCTGGGCAGAGCACGCTCCAGGGAGCGCGCCCGACGCGCCGCGAGCGCCTCCGGGGCCCGTGCAGGCCTCCTCCGGCCTGCCCGCCTCCTCGCCGGCGCACTCCGCCTCCGAGCGGAGCAGCAGCAGCGCGGGGCACCCGCTGCCGGCAGACGGCCCGGCGCAGCGCGCCCGGGGGGGGGGGAGGCCCAGAGATCCGGCGCTGCAGAGCATTGGAGCGGCAGGTCTGTGGCCGTGCTCGGCCTCCGGGGGCCCTCGCCGGGCCTCGGGAGCGGGAACGAGGAACGGCTCAGGACGAAAGACCGCCCTTGGGAGAGTGGTCCAGACCTCCGGGGACTCCTGGGGCCCACGCATCGGAGAGATTGGAGCAGCCGGCTGTCTGGGTTCGGGCACGGTGGAGGCGTGGCGATGGTGAAGGATTGTGCTCAGGAGGCTGCGGACCCTGGATGGGTACCTTATCTTCGGGGGCGGCCAAGAGGGGCGTGACTATCGGGGGGGTGGATATCATGGCGGGGGCCAGGACGTTTCCCCAGGCTTCACCCCAGGCTTCACGGCGCCTCTCCTCATTTCAAAACGCTTCCAGTCCCCTCTGGGCCGCGCACATGCCGCTTGCCATGATCTGCGCCCCCCCCGTCTTGGGCGCCCCCCTTTTGAACGCCCCCGATATCTGACGAGGGCGGCGGTGAAATCCCTGGCTAAGCCCCACTTGATGCTCCACCAGGTATTCAGGCCCTGGGCTCCTTGTCGGAAGGTTCCGTGTCCAATGCCCTCCTCCGTAGCAAGTCATGGGAGTCTCGTATGTCCTCGACACTCCGTCTTTAGAGTGCATTCGCGTGCGCTAGCCTCTGGGAGTCGATGAGAAAGCGCCGATTTACCGTCGATTAGCGTCATCCAGAGTCGATTCGCGTCGATTTGGTGTGGGTCAGCGTCGACAAGCGTCGATTAGCGTCGATGCGCAGGAGCCACGCGAGATGGCAGGGGAGGCCCCCATGAGCTGCTTCCGAAGGGAGGGGGTGGGGGGCGCAGGCGTTTCGCCGTGAAGGAAAGGGGTCCTAAGTCGAAGGAGAATATGCAGCACAACTATTATCCGCACCCCGGGGATAATACAGCATCCCCCCATTTCCAGTTGTACCTCCTTATCCACTGGATTGAATGTGGTTCAGAGGCCGAACTCTATAAGCCCCTGCGAAGTTCCTATCGTGGCTCCGACTGTGAGGATGTCTCAGGCGAGACGCAATCCAGGCATCCTAACATCGATATCTCCGGGGCCAGGTACACTCTCCCGCCTGTGTGTTCCTCCTCCTCCTCCTCCTCCTCCTCCTCCTCCTCCTCCTCCGACTCCTCCTCCTCCTCTGTCCCTCCTCCTCCCTTCACTCTCCCATAGTGTTGTGCTGGATTTGCGGCAGTGGCTGTCTGGGGTAGGTGGTATGGGGTAAGAAGACACAATGTCTGCAATTGTGGCCCGATTCGCTTTGAGGGCAGTTTGTCTCAGTCGCCACTTAGTTTCCTGCAGGTCTCATTCGGGAGGAAATGGCGATGACAGTCCTGCGGCAGGGTTGCCTGCCAACTCCCCTGCACGAGTTGGACAATGATGGGGCGTGTGCGATGTCTCCCTTTCGCCTCTTCCTCCTTCTCTAATAAGAAACTCTCCCGCTTGGGCCCCGAACTTTCTTATCCCCAGGGGCTTCTTCTCACCAGTACACGGTTGACTCTCGGCGGTCCGCGCGGATCTTTCCTTGGATCTGCGCTGGGCCCCCGCCCTGGCGGCGCCTTCGGTGCTGCCCCCTGGCGCGCTCCGCGCGCCAGGGAGGGGGGCTCCCACGAGCCCCCCAGGAAGCTCCAGGAGACTCCCAAGAGGCTCCCAAGAGGCCTCCGTAGCCATTCTGGCTCAAGAGCCAGGGTGGTTTAAGCCGTGCAGGTTGAGATGCCGGGCAGCCGGCAGGGCTTGCTGGGCTGGTGCAGGACCGAATTCGCCGATGTTTTTCCGCAGCTCGCCAGTCCAGTCATTCTTCGGCGCGGCATCCTGGCCACGAAGGATGGCCGAGCTTCTCAGGTGACGGGCCATGCCATCACTGACGATGACGGAATAACCATGACATACGATTGGCGCCATCTGCCACGGTGGTATCATCGTTTGTTCTGGGCGACTGTCCTGGTGTCGACATGTGCAGCATTGTGGGGCGTCGCGATTGACTTCAGTGCTGGCGCTATCGGGCATGGGCTCGTCAATATGGCCTTGCTCTTGTGCGTGCTCTGCATGGGAGTAGGATTACACTTCTGGGAGGAGCGGGAGTTTCAGCGATGGCGAAGCAGGAGGTCCGATAGGGCGGCGGAGGAGATTGCTGCCAACACGCCCGCACCTGGTTGTTACTCGCTCTGCAGATTGTGGCTCGTGGTGTTCTCTGTGGTTGCGATTGCCAGTTCGCTGATCGGCCTGCTTCTCGCAGAAGTCTGTGTGTTTACAACGGCAACGAGTCATCATCAGGCACCTTCAAACCTTATGAAGGGGACGTTTCCGAGCCCAGTCGTATATTCCACGCAGACGGTCATCGCGACTCTCATCTGCACGAGCACTCTCGGCCTCGTGTACTACTCGTGCCACTGGGGCCCGTACATCTGGATGGCGAAGCAGGGTGACATGCCACCTCGAGTATGGTGGGTGACAGTGTTGTACGATTGGATCTTCTGTGGTTGCGTGTGGGGGAAGCTGACGTTCGAGGCGTCACCACACCTCCGCGATACAATGTCGTACGGCATGTTCACGATCACGATCATCAATTCCCATTTTCGCATACAGACCCGCGCATTGCGCACGTGGGGCATGCCGCTCGGCGCGGTTGGCAGCCAGAGTCCCCGCTTGTTGTGCAGTCGAATGCTTGCCCTCAGCCTCGCTCCGTGCTTCTACTACATCAGTGTGTACGGCTTTCCACCTGTCGTGACCGCCCTCCTGGGCCACGGCTTCGAGTACCCCGACGAGCCCAGAGGCCTCTTCACGGTGCACTCGCTTCGGGCTTCTACTCTCATTATGGGGAGTTTCCGCTCAGCAGGGTCGGTGTTGAGCGAGCGGACCGACGCTCTGACCGCGGCACTTGCAGCGGCCGATGCTCCTGCTGGGCTACGCTGGTGGTACAAGCGAGTGGCCGACTTGCCGCTGTCTCTTCTCATGGGGGGCACCGCTTGGCTGTGCATCCCGTCCACCATTATGATGATCAAGTCTTCTGACCGCTTGGTTGAGCTTTGGCCTAAGAACAATTGGATGTTCGTCCCCGCATACGCGCAGGTACAATATTGGATTGGCATCTTTGTAGTCATGTTCGACTCGATTGTTGGCGGCCTTTTGAACTGCCACACACTTGTGCGCCTCATCATTTGCAATTGGCTCGGAACCATCTTCAATAACTTCATCGCTTCCATCATCGGCAACGTGGCGTCTAAGATGACTGACCCGCTGAACTTCCAGCCAGAGTTGCTCGAGGTACCGCTGGCCGTAGTCGGCGCGTGGCTGACCATTTTTGGCGCGCTGGAGCTCTCCCTCGACGACGTGAGCTTCTGGCTATACATGGCCTACGCCAAAGGCTACAGCCTGGTGGTGGACACGGCCCCTGTCGGCGAGATGCGCGCGGCGATGCGGCGCCCAGAGCGCTTTCCCGAACTCTTCCGCCTGAACTTCCCCTTCGAGGGCGTCCGGGCCTGCTGCGTCGCGAACCAGATCGCCGAGCTCGCCGTGACCGTGATCGTCCTCGCCCCCGTCGTGCCCGTCTGGCTGCGCACGCGCGGCGCCGCGCACGAGGCCGGCGACGGCTACACGACGCGCGGCACGGGCGCGATGTGGCTCATGTGCGGGGACGAGGCGTCCCCTGCGGCCGTGGGCCTCGTGTGCGCCAAGCTGCTCGCCTTCCTCGCCTGCTGCACCGCCGCGAACGCGCTGCAGTTCTGGCTCTGCGGCGCGGCGTGCCGGCGCTTCGCCGCCAGGATGGCGCGGCGCCCGCGCCCGCCGCCGGCGGCAGCGGCAGAGGAGCCGCGGCGCGGCGAGGCGGCCGCTGGCGCGGAGGAGCCGCCGGCGCGGCCGCGGGCGGCGCGCGGCGGGGCGCCACCCGCGGAGGGCGCGGCGCACGCGGAGGAGGCGCTGCCGAGCGGCGAGCTGAGGAGCGCCTCGCAGATCCTGGAGGAGCTGGTCGGCGGTCAGCGCGGCGGGCTGCTGAAGCTCGTCTGGATCATCTTCAGCTACGGGCTCTGCGTCCCCCTGTATCTGCTGCGGGCCAACCTGGTCCCCGAGCGCTGCAACGGGATGCTGAACGGCCCAGGGCTGGGTGACCTGTTCCTGTTTGCGCCGAGGCCCACCAACGCCACGATCAGTGCGGCAAGGGCCCGGTGCTCGTGAGCGACCGCCGATGCCCCTTCCCCCTCGCCCCCTCGAACTGCTCAGACGCGGGCAGTGTTGCGCAGCGTCGTCGGCCATCGGTGTTCTGCCCTCCTCCCTTTCCCCCCCTCTACCACATGTGACTCAGGAGGGAAGAAAACACACAGACACAATCCTTCGTCGATCCCCCGGAAAATATGGGAAAATATGGGAAGTGGGGGGGGGGGGAAGACGAAAACCCAGAAAGTATGGGAAAATATGGGGGATCCTTCTATTTGTGCGTATTTATCTGCGTGCCTCAGGGCCCCTTCGGTCCCAGCGAAAGGTTCTAAGCCCGGAGCCGAGGGCGCGCAGGCCAGCCGTGCCCCTCCGCATCGCGGGGCGCGCCCCTCCGGGGGGCGAGGCGGGCGCGCGCTCTCGGCCTCCGCGGGCCGAGGGCGGGCTGTGCGCCGTCGCCTGGAGCATCGCCTCGCGTGCGTGAGGAGGAGGAGGAGGAGGAGGGGGAGGGGGAGGGGGAGGAGGAGGAGGAGGAGGAGGAGGAGGAGGAGGAGGAGGAGGAGGAGGAGGTGGAGGAGGAGGAGGAGGAGGAGGAGGAGGAGGAGGTGGTTTTCCTCTGCCGCCGTCTGTTGCTCGGGTGCGCCAGCTTGTCTCAGTGGCCCCAGTCGTCCCATAACTTTCACTTTTTTTTCTCGGCAGCCGGACCGACCAGAAGGCGTGACAGCAGACCAGGTTCCTATTCTGCACCGGCAGGGCTCGGCGCGCAGACCAGACCAGAGGGTCTAGAATGTACAGGGATGTGAATGCTTGCACGTGGTTCACTTGAGATAGTTGTGTTGTTCCTCCTGCGTTGTTTTTTATATCTTGCAGTACTGGAGGCGCTGGAGACTACACAATGCAGGCTTTTGTTCCCATGATGCACCCTGTCGGGCGTATTTAGCACTGCTCGCTAATTTCTTTGTCTTGTTGGAGCTGGAATGTGAGGTTGTCCACTGCAGCTCTCAGGTCGTGAAACAAATGAGGCTCCCAAGAGGCTTCCAAGATGCTCCCAATGGGCCCCAAAACTGCCCCCCAGAGGCCTCCCAGGGCACTCCGAAGAGACCCCAAACAGAATCCCTAAGGACTGACCCACGTCAGCGTTAGCGTCGTCGTCGTCGTCGTCGTCGTCGTGGTCGTCGTCGTCGTCGTCGTCGTCGTCGTCGTCGTCGTCGTCCCCCTTCCGGGTCGGTGGCACCGGCCGTAAGGCCTTCTCAATAAATCCACGCGGACCTTCAAAAGTTTGTGTTCGTGGTGTTTTTTTGTGTTCCCGCTTTCGGGCTGGGCCTCTCAGCGGGCCCTGGGACTATCAGGAAGCGGCTCAGGACGCAAACGTGGTCGTTGGGGAAGGCCCCCGGGGTCCAGGACCTGCTTCACGCAGTACCCGCTCCCCTCATGCTGATGGGCATGCAAGCAGCACCTGTCGCTCCTGTGTTTGTCCTCCTCCTCTTCCTTTCTCCTCCTGTTCGTCTTGGCGCGTGCTGCTTTAAGTAAAACCTCGCCGACGCTCGGTGCCCAAATGGTGTACAGCTTTGTTGCATGGGGTTTAGAAGCGTCATGCTGATGGGGGGGGAGAGCGCATCGCACTGGTCTAGACGCTGAGCTACAATCCAGACCCCCCGCGAGGGGCCAGAGCTCAGAGGAGAAACAGACTCAGCTACGCGCAGAGGGGGGCATGGGGAGGGGGGAGGGCTTCTCAGAAGCGCCCCTGCTTCTTAGAAGGCGCGGGCCTTATCTGTAGATGTAAGGCCGGTGCCTTCCAAGAAGCAGCCTCCTTCTAAGCAGCCCTCCCCCCTCCCCCCACCCCCTTGTGCGCGCCGCCAACAGAGATCGGGGCTCCAGAGACTGGGGTCAGTGCAAGGGGGGGTCAGTCAGAGCGCCGCATCTTGCAGGATCCTGCAGGGCCAGGGGCGCACCGACCCGGGTCTGGGTGCAGGCTCCGGCAGCAGCCTGCCGGGCCTGGCTGACCCGGGTCTGCGCTGACCCGGGCCAGGAGAGCCGCGAAGATGCTCGGTACCGCGGCTCGTCCCGGTGAGTTCTCGTCGCCACGGCTGGAGGAGTCGTCTGGAGCCTCCCTGAAGTTTGCAATCGGAAGTCGCTGTACGGTAGAGGTCTGGGGAGTAGCGGCACAGGTGCTTCTGCCGCCCTCCGGGCAGGCGGGGTCGGAGGATCGTGCCGCATCGCCGATGCATCGGCGATGCGGCTCGACGCGGAGCCCGATCTTCTTCCACGCCGGCGTCGCCGATGCATCGCTGGCGTCGATGCATCGGCGGTGCGGTGGCGATGCCTCTGGGGGGCGGGGGCGGGCGGAGGGGTTTGGCATCGCTGGGACGCGTGCATTTTTTCTGGGCGAGGGCCGTCGAGGAGGGTCATATTGTGAACAACGTGCACGCACGACAGCGAAACATGCAGCGGGGAATAGGCGTCCGAGCGATGGCGAGAGGGGGGGGAGCGGATCGTACCGTCGAGGCTCTGGAATGAGTAGGTCCCCCGCGGGGGCGCGAAGAGATACATCGCGCCTCGCTCCTCGCGCGTCCCGGGCGTCCGGGTCGGAGCTGTCGCCCTGATCCAAACAAAGAAGGTGGCCCGAGGGCTCGATGTCGCGAAGATGACCGCGCGTCGCGCATCGTCGGGCGCGATGTGCGAAGTTCGGTGGCCTGGAATCACCGAGCGCGTTCCACGATTCGCAAACGTCTGGAAATAAAACATGTCTTCCTCTACGTAATGGGTCGTACATCCTTCGTGGCGGATCCAGGCTGTTTGCGAGTAGTCACTTTGAGAGTACTGGAGCGCGCTTGTCCATAGAAGGACCATGCTGGATTCCAGAAGTGCTCGCGGTTCCTCGGGCCCTTCCCTGGCTGCTCCTCTGGCGCTCCTCGTGGGCAGCAGCGTGACTGCGCCGTGTGACGCCCCTCGTGGGGGCAGAAATCAACCTCATCAGACTTGCTCAGTCGTCTTTCCTCCTCCTCCTCCTCCTCCTCCTCCTTCTCCTCCTCCTCCTTCTTCTCCTGCTCCTCCTCCTGCTCCTCCTCCTCCTCCTCCTCCTCGTCCTGCTGCTCCTCCTCCTCCTCCTCCTCCTCCTCCTCCTCCTCCTCGTCCTCCTCCTCCTCGTCCTCCTCCTCATCCTCATCCTCGTCCGCCTCCTCCTCATCCTCTTCCTCCTCCTCCTCCTCCTTGTCCTCCTCCTCATCCTCGTCCGTCTCCTCCTCCTCCTCCTTATCCTGCTCCTCCTCCTCCTCCTCCTCGAGTGCTGTGCCGCCTCTCCTCGTGGAGGCTCTGGCAGCCGCCAGAGACACCAGGGCGGCTCTTGAAGCCGCCGGCGGCCCCAGCCCCGGGGAGGCCCCAAGAGGGTCTGTCGGTGGCTCAAAGATCGGGGGCGGCAAAGAGGGGGGTGATGACTAGGAAAGGGTGGATCTCATGGCGGGGGCCATGATATTTCCCAAGATTTCATGGCGCCTCTTCTCATTTCATTACGTCCCTGGCCCCCCCGTTTGGCCGCGCACATGCCGCCGGTCATGATTTGTACCCCCCCTTCTTGGACGCCCCCCTCTTGGCCGCCCCCGATCAAAGATGTGGTCCTGAGGGATGGGGTCACAAGGATAGGAAGGGATCCAATGGTGGATTTGCGCTGTTTGAGGCGCCTCGTCTTCAGGACCCCATCCCTCAGGTGCCCAGCTTTGAGCCACCGGGTCTGGGGAGTCCCAGGAAGCTCCAGGGAGCTCATCCGACCGCCGGCCTGCCACCACCGCCAGCGGATCTCGGTGAAAGGGGGCGCTGGCGCTCCATGACCCCTTTTGCGCGCCCCCTTCGGCAGGGGCGGAGGCGGCTCGGGGAGGACGAGAGGGGCGCTTGGGAAAGGGACGCACAGTGCAGTACAGCCCAGACCCCCGACGTCGTGAATTTTTCATGACGTCGACCCCCATGCTGTCTGGGCCCATTCCCCGGGACCGGTTTCTCGTCCTGAGTCGTCTTTTGACGGTCCCGAGGGCCGGTAAGGGCCCCCCGAGGCGGAAAATTAGGAGAAACCTCCCGTCGCGATTTTTTCCTAACTCGAGGGGATGTGGGCTGCTCGCTTCGGGGGGCCCTCCCGCCGCGGCAGCCCGCGGGCGGGGCCGCGCGCCTCTCAGGCCCCCCGGCCCGCGCCGCCCCCTGGGACGCCCGGCCCCCGCCGCAGAAGCCCGGGCCGCCGGCGCCGAGTGCCCGAGGCCTCAGCTCTCCCGCCGGCCGCTCCGCGGGCGGCCGCGGTCGCACGGCCTATCCCCGGAGAGGTGCGCAGCGGGCCGACAGGGTCCCAGACATGATCGCGTCGCAAAAAAAAAATCAGGACGGGAGGTTTTTGTTGGCTATTTTCGGCCCCGGGGGGCCCCTGCCAGGCCTCGGGAGACCGTGACAAGACGAGTCAGGACGAGACACCGGTCCCGGGGAAAGGAGGGTCGGGTCTTCCGGGGACGCCGCCTTAAAAAAATCAGGGCGTCGCATGTCTGGGGTCAGAGAGCGCCAGACCCCCTCGGCGGCCGCCCGCCGCTCCGCGGGCGGCTGCGGCCGCACGGCCTCCCGGGGCCGCCCGCGGCCCGATGCGGTGCCGTTCGAGTCGCCGCGGCCAGGGCCGCGGCTCCGATTCGAGGCGCGCTCGCTCTGACCGGTGGCGCGGGCCGGGGCCAGCGCAGAGCCCGGCGCGGCGATCCGACCGCGCTTCGATGCGGGACGACTCGTTGGCGATGCGATCGGGTTCCGATCCGGTGCGTCTTCGCGATTCCATCCAGCTCAGGCCTGCCTCCCCTGAGTCGAGCAGGGCGAGGTCGGGCCTGTCCCTCTACAGGAGGAACATTCAAGTAAAGGCAAGAAATAGTCAGGGGATGATTTCTCGACTTTTGTTGACAATGGAAAAGAAAGCTATTTTTAATGTGTGTTTTCTTCCAGTACCAGCCTGTAGGAGGACATCCCCGACCTAAGAGTAGTGCCGAGGGTCAGAGAGTGCCTTCCTCTGCAGGACCGCCAAACAAAGGACATCAAGGTGGTCAAACGCTTCGGCGGTCAAGCCGGTGAAGATGTGCAACGTCAAGTCATTCGCTTGTGTCCAAAGCTTTGACTTGACGCCCGACGTGGTGCATCAATTGCAGCTTGACCGAACGGATTGCTTGCGCCCGGTGACGTCCGTTTGAGGTGTTTTGCAGACCTGACCCCCCATCCCTACTTAACATCATGGCGTCGTATTTTTGCTTTCGCGCCAGGCGTTTTCGCCTGGTCTGGGGCCCAGGGGCCCTCGCAGATCGATCCGGCTCGCAGAATGGCGCGGAAAGATGGGCTCCAGGGCCCTGGTCGTTTTTTTTTTTGTGGGGGGGGGGGTCTTTTGTTATTTTTGTTATCATTATTATCTCATTATTACTACTCATGCTCTACTTTTCATATTGAATTCTAATTTTATTAGTATTGTTATTCTTATTAATATTAATATTAGT